GCAGTCGCCGCGGTACTGGGAAGACCGTCGGATCGATTATCTCGTTGTCGATTTTTTTTGGCGCGTACCGTTCAAACCTTCAGGGTGGCCCAGTGTTGGCAAATTTTGCGCGGTGGTTGCACGACGAAGGTGGGCGCACCATAGAACCCTTCACGACAGCCCATCGTTGTAAAGATTTTCGTCGCGGTTGTAAGACGAGCGCGGGCACGGTGATCGCGCGCATTTGGGTGTTCACATTCGTTATGGCGCTCGCATGTGGTTCGCTAGACGTAAAATTTGTAAGGATCTTGGACGTGATAAATCTGTGATGAGCCTTGGCTAGGTCGTGTGCGGGCCTTCACTGGGTTCTGGGTAGGCCATGTATCAGCTCTTGAAAGGCCGCCAGGTAAGCCTGAGGCAGGCATTGGATAGGCCGTCGGGCTGACCTTGGACAGGCCTGGGGGTTCGTGGGCAGGCATTGGGCAGGATCCGAGAGGAGCGGTGCTCTGGCGCCGCCTGGACCGCAGAAAGGAGACCCACCTTCTGCAGGCCCACGGCAACCTGGGGCTCCCCTTCACATTAGCTTGAGCTTGATGTTCTGCCTTCGCTGTGAGCGTCCATTTTCGATCCAAATTATTTGAAGTCCAGCTGAATGCGCTTGAGCTTGAACTTCCGCTCAACGCGCGGAAGCTTCGCTCCATTTTATAGTTCTCTTTTAGCTTGAGCTTGAACTTCCGCTCAACACGCGGAAGCTTCGCTCCATTGCCATAATTTGTGGGAATGCCGAGACATTGGGTTTGCTCGAGGTGGGCCTTGGACGCTCTGGGTCGTCTAGGCCTTGGATAGGCGTAGAGTGCGTGAGGGGTGTGCCGAAATCGGGCCCATTGAGCCGTCTTGAGAGGTACGTAGCTGTTTCTTATGTCTTGTTTCGCCGATCGGCGCAGGCCCCCGCTCCCTCCTCCCCAAAGACCAGATCTTGGCTGCTTAAAGCGGCTGCTTCAACCGGGTTGATTAAGCACTGGGGCCCGCCCCCCCTCCTCCCCCGGTGGATACACGAGCTGCTGCTGTACGTGTGTGAGTTGTTTTCTCGAGGCGCCCCCCTGGGAATGAAACAAAGGGTATGTAGGCAGCTGAAGTGGGATCATGCGGAATCTTATTTCGACCTGCGGCCCTCTGTATGTTTCATGTGGTTGCATGCCGAGTGGAACACGTCCACCGCGTCGACACCGAACATACTTTTTCGCGTTGCATGCCAAGTGGAATTCGTCCACCGCGCCCGCAACAGCTCCTCTGCCGCGTGGAATGTGATTCCATTGGTCCGCCAAAATGGGTGTGGAAAGGGAAGGGATTGAGTGGGTTTGCTGAGAGGAGAATGCAGGATTAAGGTCGACTGCGGCTCATGGCGTGCATCCGTGGGGGCATAGAGGGATGGTGCGGTTTGCTGATTGATCATAATTGATAGAAGTCTTTCTGCTCTCCGATGCTGCGAACCCTAGACCGTCGCCGCATCTTGCTAGAACCAAAGCGCGCGCGCAGCGCGCGCGTGGTTCATCGGAGTAGGGCCCGGGGGCGGCCCGGGGCGATGCCTGTAATCTCCATGGGGGGTGCAGGGCGCCCCCGGGAGCGTCCAGAGCGTCCCGGAGGGCCCCTGGGACCGCCAGGAACAGTTCGAGACCGCCCAAGACGGCCCGCGAGCGCTCCAAGACGCGCGTAGATAGCCTCAGGAATGGCCAGGAAGGCCCGAAGACGTTCCAAGAGAGCTCCATGAGGCCCCGAAGGCATCCCAAGAGGCCTCCCAAGAGAGCGCCGACAAACTAAAATCGCTGATTTTCATATTTTTTTCGAGGTTGTTGGCCTTCTCGCTTTTTCGGGGTTCCGACGCTCCAAGACCGTCCAAAAGTCTCCCAAAACCGCTCCAAGACGGCCGAAGAGGCCCCCCAAACCGCCCCAAGACGGCCCAAGAGACCTCCAAAATCGCCCCAAGACGGCTCAGGAGAGCCCCAAGATGGCCCAGGAGCCGCCCAAGACGGTTCCAGCCCCGACAGGGCTCAAGACTGCCTAAGCGAGCCCAGCGGGCCCCGAGAGGGCCCCGCGAGGCCCCAAGAGGCCCCAGAGAGGCCCCCAAGAGCCTCCCCGGAGGCCCCCAAGAGGCCCGGAAGATGCCCAACAATGGCCCTGATCGCGCCCCAAGACGCCTCCAGGAGAGCCCAACAGGCCTCCGAGAGGCCCCCAAGAGGCCCACTGGAGGCCCTCAGAAGGTCGTCCCCATCATGTTCCCAGAAGGCGGTCCGGGAACATGATTCCGCGCCTTGGAGGAGTATTCTGCGCTTTCCGAGGCGCCTTGGACGACGTACGTATGTTTCTATATATTGTCCTTCTCCTATGTGCACAATCCTACATGGTTTACGTATGTTTCTCTCTCTCTCTCTCTCTATATATATATGTGTATATATATGAATGTATATAAATATATATACATATACATTCATATATATGTATATGCATATGTATATGCGTGTGTATATATATATATATATAAATATATACACATATATATGTATATATATATATATATATATATAGGGGAAGGGGGTCCTGGACCAGGGGGGGGCCTCACTTTGCCCAGTGGCTGTGGTCACCCCCCGCCGGAGACGCCAGGACGCTCCCAGGAACCTCTAAAATGGCTCCAGGACGCCCTCAGGACAGCCCAAGAGAGGTCCGAAGCGGCCCGGGAACACTCCAAGACTGTTTAAAAGCTGCCAAAGCGTCCCAGCAGATCTCCGACAGCACTCTCGGGAGGGGCCCAATAGGAAATTGTCACTGATTTTTTGTGGGTTTTGAAAGGTTTTGGCGTTCTCCCCAGTTCGGCTTCCAGACGCTCCAAGGCGGCCCAAGAGGCCCGAAAGACCGCCTCAAGACGAGCCCAGAGGCTCCCAAGAGACCACCGAGACAGCCCAAGAGGGCCCCAAGACGGCCCAGGAAGCTTCCAAGACGGCCCAAAAGAGCTCCCAGAACACTCCAAGAGGAGCCCCAGATGGGGAACACGAACTGACATTTCGAGCCCTCGCCCACCAGAAGCTCCCAAGAGGCCCCCAGGAGTCCGCAAGAGGCCTCGAGAGGCCCCCAGGAAGCGCTTGAGGTTGAAGCGGTGCCTCCTCCTTCCTTTCCTCGTCCTCCTCGTCCTCCTCCTCCTGTTTTGGCCTCCGGAGGCCGCGGGACCTTCGAACATCGATCCCGAGGGGGCGCTCGCGGTTGAAGCTGTGGTGTCCTGGGCGTCCCCCGGCCGCGAGACGCGGTCCAGGGGGAAGCCGTGCCTCCTCTTCCTGCTTCTCCTCCTCGCCCTCGTCGTCGGAGGCCGCGGGACCTTCGAAGATCGACCCCGGAGGGGACGCTCGAGGTGCAGCGGTGGGGTCCTGGGCGCCCCCCCGGCCGCGAGACGCGGTCCAGGGGCGAGTGTCCGGGGCGGGCACTCGAGGTCGAAGCCGTGCCTCCTCTTCCTCCTCCCTTTCCTCCTCCTCCTCCTCCTCGTCCTCCTCCTCGTCCTCCTCCTCGTCCTCCTCCTCGTCCTCCTCCTCGTCCTCCTCGTTCTCCTCCTCGTCCTCCTCGTCCTCCTCGTCCTCTTCCTGCTTCTCCTCCTCCTCCTCCTCCTCCTCCTCCCGCGTCGGTCTCCAGAGGCCGCGGGGCCCGGGGGAAGCGGAGCTGAGGCCGTGGTGGCCCGGGCACGCCGGCACCGCCACGCGTCTTGCCCTTCCACTGCGAGCATGCTTCATTCTCAAGGGCTCGAGGGTGCGAGGTGATTCGCGCTTCTCGGTTCGGCTCTGATTCCTCCTCATCCTCCCTTTTCTGCCCTGGGAGGCGGCGCGAGAGCGCGAGGTTATTCGCACTTCGCGCAGCGCGAAACGCGAAGTTGGGAGCCCTTGTTCGTTCCACCAACACGCCGTAGCGCTTCCCAAGAGGCCCCGAAAGACTCCCAAGACGCCGCCAAGGGCCCCGAGAGGCGTCTCAACAGTCCACGGTCCAGTCAACTTCTGACCCACAGCCCAGGCATGGCAATCTTTCTTCAAAGGGATTCCAGGAAGTCCTTTTTTTTCAAACTTACCCTCGGCTTGTTCTTGCACAACGGGCCATCTTTAAGGCCCCCGTCACCACCGAAGAAAGATCTCAGGAAGCCATCGAGGGCCCAACTACATCGAACACCTAAAGGGAATGTGTGATTTAGTGGTTTCCGCATTTCCCCTTCTACACGTTTCCGAGGCTTGCGCAGGGACTCCGACGAGGTCGTTAGATGCACAAGGCACTTCGAACATTGATTTTCCATGCGTTAGCCTGTCGAGCCTAGCTAGAACTTGAGCGCGCGCGAAGCGCGCGCGATGGTTCTAGTATACATATATATATACACACCCACGCACACGTACAAACACAAACGCCCCCACACACACACACACACACACACACACACACGCGCGCGCACACACACAAGCCCACGCATACAAACACACACACACACACCTATACATATATATATATATATATACACACAGATACACCCACCCACGCTCACGTAGAAACACACGCGCACACGCACACACGCACACACAAACACACAAACACACACACACACACACCTATACATATATATATATATATATATACACAGATACACCCACCCACGTTCACAAAGAAACACACGCGCACACGCACACACGCACACACAAACACACACACACATATATAGAGAGAGAGAGAGACAAAAAAAAGACAGAGAGAGATGCACAACACGCACGCACGCACGCACAACATGCACAACACGCACGCACGCACGCACGCATGCACAACACGCACGCACGCACGCACGCACGCACGCACGCACGCACACACACACACACACATCCACACACACATACACGCACACACGCACGTACACACACACACACACACACACACACGCACGCGCGCACGAACACACCAGCTGCTGCAAGCGCGGTGGTGGACCGAGACGTCGCATCGCGCTCGCCGCCCTTGCAGGAGCACCGTTCGCGAGCCGCGCCGGCGCCACTGCCGCCGAGGAGCCGGAGGCCTCGGGCTTTGGCGCTGCCGTCGCCGCCGCGTTCGTCGGCGCACACGCTGGGCTTGCGGCGGCCATCTACGGCCGCACCGCCAGGACACGCGACAAAGACGTCGAACAACGGACGACAACGACGACGACGACGACGACGACGACGACGACGGCCTCTTCCTCCCAGTTCCCTAACGTTCTGTGATGCTGTTTTGTCCTCTCTTTCCCTCAGCAGCGCTGCGCGTACTCCCCTCCCGCTTGTATCCCGTGCCCGACAGGGAGCTCCACGGGGCGCTTCTATGGCGTGTCCCCGCCCATGTCGGTTCCTGTAGCGTCTCCACGCCCATTTTGGCACCCCCCTCGTGCAGATCGTACCCCACGGGGAGCTCCGCGTAGGGCGCCAGGCGCAATCCCCACACAGATCGTGCCCCGCAGGAGCTCCATGTTAAGCGCCAGCGCATGCGTCCACATGCGATCCAGGGCCAACTTCGGCACCACTCGCACGTGGGGTTCGTGCCCCGTAGGGCGCTCAGCGTGCCCCTGAGCGCCGGTTCCACGAGCCACCGACTCCAGATCTTGAGGAGCCCACGCCTGCCTTGAACAACTGCTCGACGCGGAGATCCCCCATGTGTGCGGTTCACTTCCTGGCACTTCCCGCTGCGCTTGTCCGGGTGACAGAGTTCAGCTTGTGGCGGCGGAGCGCTCCCCGGCGACTTAGCGTTTGGGGTACCCAAGTGCGACGCGCCTGCCAGACCGGGATGATCCCTTTGATTTTGAGATGAGACGCGTCGGGGATGCCAACACCAGCATTTCGCTTAAGACATCCACCTCCCGTCGGCTTCCCTTGCGGTGCCCCAGTGCTCGGCCTGGTACATCGCTGTCATCACGGGGCTCTGGGAATGAGAAGAGTTGGATGTGCAGAGGAAGCGTCTCGTTCGAGACATCCCCACAATCTGGCCGCGAACAGGCAAGTGTCGCATCCCTCTGGCGGCCCGCCCTTGTGGGTGCCAAGTATTTTGTCTGGTGGACCGCGGTGGTCATTGGACTACAAAGCGAGGAGTCGGAGGTGCAAAAACGGGCGCTTCGTTCGAGACATATCCACAGTTTGGTCGCGAACGGGCAAGCGTTGCTCCCTGGTGGCTGATTTTTTTGGTGCCCGCGTGCGACGCCTGGTACATCGCAGTGTTCGTGGGACTGTGAACGGGGAGGAGTCGGGCACCCCAAACAAGCGCAACACTCGAGACATCCTCCCAATCTGGCCTCGAACCGGCAAGTGTCCCCGTCCCTGCCGGCTCCTCCTTGGGTCTGAGTGCGAGCGAGTCTGATTGTGAGTGAGTCTGGGTACGAGCAGCTGGGTGTGAGTGAGTCTGAATGTGAGTGGATCTGAGCGTGAGTGGGCTTAAGTGTGAGTGGTACCGAGTGTGAGTACGTCGGGCGTGGGTAAGCCTTAGTGCGAGTGAGTCTGAGTGTGCGTTCGCCTGGGTATGAGTGAATCTGAGGGCGTATGAGTCTGGGTGAGTGAGTCTGGATAGAGGTGGCCTGAGTATGAATGGATCTGAACGCGAGTGATCTGAATATGAGCTTGCCTGAGTTTGAGCATACGTGTGAACATTACCGGGTCTGGTCTTAGAAATGAGAAGGCGGGAGTGAGACTTGGGCGGAAAGGCCCCACTAGTACCAAGATCCCAGTCTTAGAGAACATGGATAGTTCTCTGCGTGCGCGTGTGCATCTTTCATCACATGACATATGTATATAGATAGATAGATAGATAGATAGATAGATAGGTATATATATAGATATATAGATAGATAGATAGATATATAGATAGATAGATACATCGTATCGAGAGATGGCCCTTGCAGACACTTTGTTGCGAGAAAAGCGCAAACAAGAAACCTGTAACCTCCACCCAGGGCGTGGGGTGTTCCCAAGGCGGCGGGAGAATCCATGCGCCTCCGCCGCCCGCAGCGGCGCAGAAGATGAGTACGCTTCGCGCTTCGGGCTGCCGGGTTGCTCTTCTTCACGGGGCGGCGAGGCAGCACGAAGATCGTGAGCGCTTCGCGCGGCGCACCCGGCGTGGCGCAAAGCTCGCCGGCCTGGATGCTCACAATGCCTCGCCGTGGGAGCACGACAGGGTCGCGCCGCGCCACGGGACACCTCGGGACATCACATCGATATCACTATCGATCTCACTATCGGTCTTACGATCGATCTCACTCAACTTGTCGATCTCACTATCGATCTCACTTGTTGGGACACCATTTGACACCACGGGACACCTCGGGGCCACCGCCGGACGGGCGGGAGGGGGAGAGTCATTTGTCTTGACTTCGCTCTAGCAACGGCGGGTTCATTCCTCTCGGGCGCCCACGCAGTTTCGCCTCGCCCGCACGCGCGACACGAACGAGACGAAACGATTTCCCAGCTGGGGGGTTCCGTTCCTCTGCGATGTCGCACCCCAACCTCCGTTATATATACATATATACAAATACATACATCCCATACATGCATCAGTATGTATCGGAGGTTGGGTGGTGAGATCGCAGTGGAACGGAGACTCCAAACCAGGAAATCGTTCCGTTTCGTTCGTGTCGCGCGTGCGAGCGAGGCGAAGCTGCGTGGCGCGCGAGAGGAATGCACCGGCCGCTGCTAGGGCGAAGTCAAGACAAAATGATTCTCCTCCGCCCGCCCGTCCGGCGGTGGCTCGCGGTGTTTCGCGGTGTCCCGTGGTGTCCCGTGGTGTCCGCCGCTGCTAGGGCGAAGTCAAGACAAATGATTCTCCTCCGCCCGCCCGTCCGGCGGTGGCTCGCGGTGTCCCGCGGTGTCCCGTGGTGACCCGTGGTGTCCCGTGGTGTCCCATGGTGTCCGCCGTTGCTGGGTCGAAGCCAAGACAAATTATTATCCCCCGCCCGACCGTCCGTCCGTCCGTCCAGCAGTGGCTCGCGGTGTCCCGCGGTGTCCCGTGGTGTCCCGTGGTGTCCCGTGGTGTCCCGTTGAGTGAGATCGACAGTGAGATCGATATTGAGATCGATACTGAGATCGAGACTGAGATCGATGTGGTGCCCCGAGGTGTCCCGTGGTGTCCCCTGGTGTCCCATGGTTTCCCGAAAAGTGAGATCGATAGTGAGATCGATAGTGAGATCGACAGGTGTCCCGTGGTGTTCCGTGGTGTCCCGTTGAGTGAGATCGATAGTGAGATCGATAGTGAGATCGATGTGGTGTCCCGAGGTGTCCCGCTGTGTCCCGTGGTGTCCTATGGTGTCCCGTTGAGTGAGATCGATAGTGAGCTCGGTAGTGAGACTGATAGTGAGATCGAGAGGTGTCCCGCGGTGTCCCGTGGTGTCCCGTGTTGGCCCGTGGTGCCCCGTGGCGTCCCGTTGAGTGAGATCGATAGTGAGGTCGATAGTGAGATTGACAAGTGTCCCGTTGTGTCCCGTGGTGTCCCGTGGTGTCCCGTTGAGTGAGATCGATACTGAGATCGATTGAGTCAGATGTTGGTTCCCCCACTCTCCCCCCGACAGCATCTTTATTACCAGAAGGGTGGTCGTATATATATATATATATATATATATATCGTGTATATATATATATATATATATATGTATATGTATGTACGTGTGTATGTATGTATACTGGCATTCGGCCCATCCCGCCACCGTGCCTGGGTCGTGAAGCCTATTGGATGTTCGTTGGGATCTCGTGGGAGGCCTCTCGTGGGCCTCGTGGGGGCAGTTGTGAGGCCTCTTGGCAGTTGGTTGGGGGCCTTTGGGGGCCTTTTGTTGTTATTTTGGGGGCCTCGTGGGGCCTCTTGTGTCGGGCCGGGCGAAAGGGGGGGATTGGGAAAGGGGGGGTTTACGAAATTTGCTGCATGCAGCTGGTTTCGGCCTCACCGAGGGGCCCATTCCTCGATACATGGCCGCCTCCGGCGCCGGGAGGCGCTGGGAAAATCAGCTACGCGAGCTGATTCTCAAACCCCCCCTTTGCTATCCCCCCCTTTCGCCCGACCCGATTGTGGGCCTCTTGGGGGCCTCTTGGGCACCTCTTGTGGGCCTCCTGGGGGCCTCTCGGGGCGGAATACTCGGAGTGTCGGTTCGTGTTCCCTCTCTTGGGCTCCTTTTGGGGCCGTGTTGGGTCTCTCTTGGGCCGTCGTGGGCGCCTCTTGGGACGTCTTGGGGCGCTCTGAGGCCGCCTTGGGGCCGTCTTGGAGTGGTTTTGTGGGCCCCTGGGGGCGCCCTGGAGCGTCGGAAAACAGGAAAGGCGAGAACGCCCACATCCTTCCAACACCTAAGGGGAAACACGTATGTTCGCCTCTTGGCGCCCTCTTGGGAGGCCTCTCGGAGACACATTGGGGCGTTTGGGAGGCCCCTGTCAATGGCGTGAAAAACGCCCCTACCCTGGTTTACGAGGCGCTGTGCGCTGAACCTCCTGTGGGCCGACGCGGTAAGCCCTGCATATCGCGCGTGCCGCGCGGCGTCCTTTCGGCTCCTTGGGCCTTTGGGAGCTCCCAGGAGGTAGACAGACCACGTACTTGTGACCCAGGGTAGGGGCGTTTCTGCATCCCTCAATGTAGGGGGACATGCCCGACCTGACATGAAGTCGGGCCTGTCCCTCTGCAGGGGGGATACTCAAAAGCACTCAGAACAAATAGTCTGGGGACGACTGTTGTTTGCTATGTTTGATTGTTGCTTCTCGAGTTTTCGATCGTTGGGCCATCTTGAAGGACACGCCCGCGCCGTGCCCAGCGGCACGGCGGCGGATGCGTCCGCACCCGCGGCCCCACGGGCGGGGCCCCTGGGCCGCGACCCCGCGCACAGGGGGCCTGCTTCCGCGGATGCCTCGCGCGGGAGGCACCCCCCGCGCGGCCACGCGTCCGCGGGATCGCGCACCAGAAGGCCCCGAGGAGGAGGAGGAGGAGGAGGAGGAGGAGGAGGAGGAGGAGGAGGAGGAGGAGGAGCGAGGAGGAGCGAGGAGGACGAGGAGGATGGACGAGGAGGAGGAGGAGGCGGAGGAGGAGGAGGAGGAAGAGGAGGAGGCGGCGGAGGAGGAGGAGGAGGAGGAGGAGGACCTGGGCTTCCCCGGAGGGCACACGGAAAAGCGCCCCAGAGGGCGCGAGGGCCGCCGAGAAGTCCCGCCGCCTTCCGAGCAGGCCTTCCCCTTTCTCGTTCCCCCCCCCCTCGCTCGCCGCCGACATCTACTCCGACCCCATCTGGGAGGCCTAGACTCCTACTCTCCCCGCGCGGCACCATGGGCGCTCCGCCGTCGCGGGGCGCCCGGCCGATGGCCCGCGGCTGGACGTCCCTTTGTTGCGCGGCAGGCTCGAGCCGCCACGACCCTGGACACACCGCAGCTCTTCCAGCGCGCGGGTCCTTCGCCATCCCACGGGCAGCGAACACCTCCGCATCCGCGCCCTGGCGGTCTGGACGGGCACAAGCTCTCGTCGAGCTCAGAAGGAAGGAGGAGGGGGAGGAGGACGGGGTGGAGGAAAGGGAGGAGGAGGAGGAACTGGAGGAGGAGGAGGAGGAGGAGGAGGAGGAGGATGAGAGAGGAGGAGGAGGAGCGAGGAGAGGAGGAGGAGGAGGAGGAGAGGAGGAGGAGGAGGAGGAGAAGCGAGGAGGAGGAGGAAGGAGGAGGACGAGGAGGATGAGAGGAGAGGGGGGAGGAGAGGGAGGAGGAGAGGAGGTGGGGTGGATGGAGAGGGGGGGGGGGGGGGGGGGGGGGGTGAGGCGGGTGGGGGAAGGGAGGAGGAGGGGGAGGAGGAGGGAGGAGCGAGGAGGGGGAGGAGGAGGGAGGAGGGATGGGAAGGGGGAGGAGGAAGGCCTCTCATGCATGATGCTGCACGGGGATGGCAGGAGAGAGGGGCGGAGAGCAACGCTCCAGGAGGGCGGAGGGCAAGTACACGGAGTCCGCCGTCGACGCCAAGCTCTTCGAGCAGGTGTACCTGGACTATACCACCGAGTACCTCAAGGGCCCCATGTACGCCCACCGGGAGAAGGCGCAGGGCGCACGTCCAGACTACCCCGGCAACCCGCTCTACAAGAACGGCAAGATGACGAGCAACGTCACCGGCAACCTGAAGACGTTCAGCTCCAACGAGCTCATGTGAGGCGGTCAGAAAGGGCGTCGTAGTCGACCCATCAGGGGCGAGGCACCTCGCGCGCGGCCGAGGGCGCCCGCGGAAGCCGGCGGAAGCCCAGCGAAAGCCGGCGGCAGCACAGACAGACCCCCGGCCCACTGGCACCCATGGCTTCTGCACTCGGCCATGTATCTCCACCAGCGGCGCGACACTAATCACGAGGTAGCGACCACCCAGAACATTCTGAAGCCCTCGGCCCCGAGAGTGCGAGACTTCCGTCCTGCCGTTTCGGGGGGTCGTGCTTTGTGCCTCACGCCGGATCGAGCCAGCAGGGCCGTAGGGCCAGGAACCTCGGGGCTCGAGTGCCGAGGGGGCGAATGCAGACGAGGGTCAGCCAGAGCGCCAGATCTCCCAGGATCCTGCAGAGCTTGCCCCGGACCTCCGAGACATGCTGGGCATACAATATAGAAGGAGGAGGAGGAGGAGGAGGAGGAGGAGGAGGAGGAGGAGGAGGAGAGCAGTTCTGGCCCCTGCGGGACGAGCCCGCCTGGCCTCTGTTTGCATGGGCCCAAACCCGCGTCCGCATGGGCCCTTCAGCCGCGCGAGCGGGTGGCGGCCCGTCGGGGGGGGGCGTCCCGCTCGCCTCGCTGCTCCTGCGACCCCTGCAGCTTCACACGCGGCTCCACTCCCTCCCCGCCTGACCCTGCCCGGGCCCCCTCCGTGGGCACTTCCGCCTCCTCTTCACCCCTCCTTCCTCCTCCTCCTCCTCGTCTCTCTTCCTCCTCCTCCTCCTCCTCCTCCTCCCTCCTCCTCCTCCCCCTCTTCCTCCTCCTCAGCCCTCTTCCTTCCTCCTCTCCCTCCTCTTCTCCTCTCCTCCTTCCCTCCTCCTCTTCCTTTCCTCCTCCTCACCCTCTTTCTCCCTCCTCCGCCTTCTTTTTCCTCCTTCCTCTTCCTTCCTCCTTCTTTTGGGCACTCCTATCCTCCTCCTCCTCCTCCTCCTCCTCAGCCCCCCTCCTCCTCCTCAGCCCCCCCTCCTCCTCCCCCTCCTCCTCCCCCGCCTCCTCCTCTTATGGGGGGGGAGGGGGGGGCCCGGGGGCCTCGCCGCGCGCCGCGTGCTGCGGCGCGCCTTGGCGCGCGGCCCAGGCTGCGGGTGGTGGTGGTGGTGGTGGGGGGCTCGAGGATATGGCCAGCCACGCGCAGAGCGGGGTGGAGGGGAGGGGGGGAAGGCGCCCTCGAGTCGAAGGGAAAAGAACGCCAAACATTAGTTTTTGGCGCTCCGCGCGAGTTTCTTCGATCCGCGCGGGGGCCCCCCTGGCGGCGCCTCCGGCGCCGCCCCCGGAGCGCTCCGCGCGGGAGGGGGGTCCGGCGCGGACCCAAGAACATCGCGCGAAGAGCTAAAAGCTTATATGTTTACGCAGTTGTTTCTTTTATCGAAGGAGGCCTCCCAACTCCCCCCAGCTCCCAACTCCCCCCAGCCCCTTCTCTGTAGATGTAGGGCCGGTGCCCTCTAAGAAGTAGCCTCTTTCTAAGAAGACTTCCCCCCTCTCCCAACCGCCTTGTGCGCGCCGCCAAGATGGGGGGGGGTGCTTCGAAAATGGTTCCCTGTCAGCGTTTCGGTATGGTGGGCTCGAATCAGAGTGAGGAGGCCGAACGGGCATTCGTTGTCCCTGGGAGCGTGGTTGAAGTGGGGTCCCACGGTGCGGACTCTTGTTGCGTTGTTGTTGCGTTGTTCCGTTGTACTCGTCGTCGTCGTCGTCGTCCGCGACCCGCCCGCGAACCACCCCCGACTCACCGGCGACCTACCCTCGACCCGCCCACATTGCTTTGACGAAGAACTCGGCGCCTGCGGCAAGCTCGTTGTCTGTCGAGACAAATCGGCTCCTGCGGCGGGCTTCTTCAGAGCCTTGCAGACTGCCGACGATCCCGCCGCCCCCTCACTCGTGTCCGCGACCGCGGGGTTCCAAGTTGTGATGAGCAAGGGCCGCAGAAGAGTCCCAGACGCCTGGCCTGGCAGCCGTCTCGTCTGAGTCTTCCTCAAAATCCATCCAGGAGTCGTGCTCTCGATCTTCTCTCTCTCCCTCTCTCTCTCACCTTCGTCCAGGCTGCTAGTAGGGTTAAGTCGGGCCTGTCCCTCTACAGGAGAAGTCTTCAAAAATAGTCGAAAATCGTCTGGGAACGTTTTTTGAGTATTGTTGATCATTTTGGGAGCATTTTTGGAGTACCTTCAATTTCCCCTTCTTCATATTTAAACAATTGTAGGGGGACAGGCCCGACCTACTATTAGGGTGCTTCGCCGGGGCTGCTTTCTCTTCCGAATCGTGCCCGTCGATCGAGAAAGCGGCGAGGCACTCGGTGGATCTCCCGGCCAGGGGGGAGATGCCGAAAGCGTTTGGCCGTGCAAGCTGGGAGTCTCTCTTGAATGACGCGCTGCCTCCTCGCCTCCTCCCAATTTCCCCCGGCTCCTTGAGCCTCTCACCTCGATGGCGACGACGACGACGACGACGACGACCCCGACGACAGGTACCTCTCCATGCTGTTCTTCGGCATCGGTCTGTATGGCAACCTCCAGTTCCTGTATTTTGACCCGCAGTTCCCGAGGGTGGACTCAGGCCTCAACTTCAACGTCTCCTACATCGTGGAGCCCCCTAGGAGGAGGAGGAGGAGGAGGAGGAGGAGGAGGAGCAGGAGCAGGAGGAGCAGGAGGAAGCGGAGGAGGACGAGGAGGGGATGCGGAGGGGCATCCGAGGTTATCGGATGACTTTGACCCGTTGAGGCCTCCAGTAACCTGGGGAGTCCTCTAGGGGACCCCCTGGGGACTTCCGAGGAGTCACTTTTCTTGCCGATGTCCTTCTTCTTCCACATCGCGTGCTACATTCAGAGGAAGAACGGCAAGTGAGCCGCGCTCGGTGCTCCTCACCTGTCTCCTCATGCCTCTCTCCATTCATCCTTAACCTCTCGTTCCTGTTCCTTCTCCTTCTCCCCCTGTTCACCTTCCTCCTTGTCACCCCCCCACGTCCTTTCATCCCTTCCACTCTTCATCCTCATCCTCTTTACGCCCTTCCTCCTCTCCTCTCCTCTCCTCCTCCTCCTCCTCCTCTCCTCCTCCTCCTCCTCCTCCACCTCCTCCTCCTCCTCCTCCTCCTCCTCCTCCTCCTCCTCCTCCTCCCCCTTTCCCTCATTCCACCCGGACCGTCACCACCATCATCATGTCCATCGTTACCCTTCATTTCAGTCGCACTACTACGTGTCAGTTCGACCTCTCCTCGTTCTCCTGGCTTTGGTAGCGCGCCCCGAGGGCGCGCACCAGTCTCGCCGCCCTTCCCGTGGACCACCCGGCGCCCAGCGCTGGGCTGGCATCCCGTGGTGCACACGCCCCCTCCCCGGACACTGCGGCGGCCGCTCTTGCTGGGTGCTTTCGACGCCGCCAGTCCTCAGGAGGGAAAAAAACACAGACACAATTAATCGTCGAATTCCCAGAAAATATGAGAAAATATGGGAAGTGGTGGGGAAGACAAAAACCCAGAAAATATAGGAAAATATGGGGAATCTTTTTATTTGCGTGTATTTATTTGTGTGTCCCAGTTTCCCTTCAAGTCCATCTGCTGGTGAGCCGCTGGAGGCCGCGAGGACGGGCCTTGAGCGCTGCCGGGCCCTCCTGGCGTGCACTCTCGCGGGCAAGCGGAGCGCGCCCGGCGCGCTGGGAGTCATTGCGGCAGGCCAGCTCTGCGGAGGGAGGCGGCACGGAGGCCTGCAACCCCCCGCGCGAAGCCGCTCGCCCGCCGCCGTCTCGGCCTGGCCCCCCCATCTCCAGGCTCAGGGCCTCCTGTCCTGAGAGGCGTCTCCAGAGTTCTGGAGGCACTGGCCCGAGTCGAGGGAGGACCCCCCCCCCAGGCCAGATCATTCGCGTTTGCTGAGCGGCCCTGGGGAGTGTTTACTATATATGCAGTCCTGGCCTGGTCGATTCCTGCCATGGGTGCGTTTACTAAACGGCTTCGCGTGTCGGGGTGATTGTTATGGAGGTGGATTGTCTGCCCTCTACCGAGTGTGGGCAGTGCTTCGCATCCCTGGTGGGTGGCCCCTCTCGGTGCCTGTGGCCAGGACGGACTGCCGCGCCCACTTTTGCGCGCGGCGCGAGAGGCGTGCCCCGCGCTGGACGTGGCAGTCGGCCATCCCCTGCCGCTCGCCCTCAAAGGGCGGCTCGCCCATTGAAGGGAGCCGCTCGCCCTCGAAGGGCGCCCGCCCTGCGCAGGGAGCCGCTCGCCCTCGAAGGGCGGCGCCCCTGCCGGGGGCAACGCCCCCGCGCAGGCCTCGGCAGGGTGCTTCCTTGGTCGCAGGGGCCTGCTCTCGTCGCGGCCCCGCGCGGCGCACCACGTCCGCTCCGCCGGGTGTCGCGGTGGCGCAGGCAGCTCGGCCGGCCCCTCGACGCCCCCCCCGCCCCCCCCCCTCCCCCGAGCCTCCGCCCAGCATGCTACGAGCGGCGGCTCGCGAGGCCGAGGCTGCAGCAGGGGCTGCCAGCACGGTGCCGATGGGATCGCACTCGGCGCAGCCGCGCTGCGGCATGCTCCACGGGTTCTGCTTCAGACCGTTCAGGCCCTATGGGGTCGCTGATCAGGGTTCTGAGACGGTAGCTGGCTCGTCCTTGAGATCCGACGTTGCAAAACATATGCAACAACGTAAACAAAAACACGCCCCGCGACCCGAACCGCATCTTGCTGCGTCATTTCTCGAGCCGGAACGATCTGTGAGGGCCCCTGTGCCCGAAGTGGAGCGAAGCCCCCGGGTGTGAACAAAATTGCAGCGCCAGGATCTCAGGGGTAGCCGCCGTGCCGGCTGGTTGGGCCCGCTTGCATTGCCGAGCAGATGCGTAGCACCATTTGGGCGTCTCTGGGAGGGGGTTGTTCATGTGGTTCCAAAGGGGATCCCAGGGGAAGGGACTTTTGAGACGGCCGATGCCGATTTCTCAAGTCCGCTCGGCTTCGCCCACACGGGCACCGCATGACGCTTTCACCCGCACGATTCGAAGTCTCAGATGCAACGCCGCGGTCTCAGAAGTCCGTTTCGTTGGCGTCCCTTCCGGAAGCGGATCAGGTGTGCGTCTCCTTGCGACCTGCAGGGGCCTCCGCGGCCAGCTTTTTCGGCAGCGCCCCAGCCGGCGACCCAGACCAAGAATGAAGTGGGGCACGTCCCTCTACAGGAGGAATATGCAAAAATAGTCGAAAGACAGTCTGGGGATGATTTTTTGACTACGTTTGATTATTTTGGATTACTTCTTGTCTATGTTTCATGTTTCTTCCAACATCCCCCCGTAGGGGGACATGCCCGCTTGCCCCCAGGGTGCCTTTCGAGGGTTTTGCCATGGAAGACAGCGCGACGCTCCCGCACAAATGGTCCGTGGATGTCACCTGGTGTCTCAGGGTTGGGCTTCTCGTGGAAGGTTTCTTGTGGTCGAGCTCCTTTTGAATTTTCAAGCATTCGAGGTCTTGTGGGCCTCCCGGCGCCCGCTTGGGCCGTTGTGGGTCTCTCTTGGGCCATCCTGGGGCGCCCTTGGGCCGTGCGGCGCCTTCCGAGGCCGTCTTGGGGGCGTCTCGGGGCCTTTGAGCTGCCTGGGGCCGCCTGGCGGCGCCCGCGTCCTCCCTCGGCGCTGCCGGTGCCAGCAGCCACCCCTCGGCGCTGGTCCGACGGGTGCTCGCTCGTGGACTTCTGTCACGTGCAGTCTGGGGCTGCGCGCCGCGCCCGCGTGCATGCGCTGTTTTCGCTGTTTTGTTGCTGTTGTTGTTGTTGTTGTTGCTGTTGTTGTTGTTGTTGTTGTTGGTGGTGGTGGTGGTGGTGGTGGTGGTGTTGGTGTTGGTGTTGGTGTTGTTGTTGTTGGTGGTGGTGGTGGTGGTGTTGGCGTTGTTGTTGTTGTTGTTGTTGTTGTTGTTGTTGAACATTATTTATTCTAAAGAATAATTATTGTTGGGCTCCCTGGTGCGCGCCCCCCCTGCGCCGCCTAGGCCGCAGCTACATTTTCATCATTTTCGTGAGGAAGCCTCAGAAAAGAGGGTGTGTACAGGATCCGGTTGTTTTGTTGTAATCCGCTTTCCCTTGCAACAAACAATAGAAAATGACATTTCTTGTTCTAATATAATCAAATTTCAAGAATCCCTTGCAAAAAATAAGGTAAAGTGGACATTCGCGCGCGCAAGACGAAATCCTTCCAAAACCTTAGTGTTCGCAGCGATTTTAACATAAAAACATCAAAAACCAATGGTTTTTCAACACAAAATTGTCAAAATCTCATCCCGCGCGCTCTTGCGGATTCGTAGGAAACCCAACACTTTTTAAACATTTCTGTCAAACGGGCTTTTGCGAGCAACTTATTCGAACTTCTGCGACAACTGTTGCGCACCTGCCAGGGCCATCATCCCTGTCAAATAATACCATGCGGGACACATTCGTTTTTTCTTCGCGCGCGCACGCCGTCGTCGTCGGCCGCGTGGCCTTGAATAGTAGCCACGGTCGTCCGCATGCCACGAAGTGAAATGTCCGAACGTCATAGGGCGGGAAGCTGGGTGTGGGTGGTGGCGAAGAGTCGTTTGGAAACTTGGTAGAGCTTGAACCGGCCCCCCCACAAAGTGGGGTATTGCCCGCCTCCTATGAAAACCCTGGCACTGGTGAGAACGGAGTGTCCCCAGTCTTAAATGATTGTTGTTGTTGTTGTTGTTGTTGTTGTTGTTGTTGTTGTTGTTGTTGTTTTTGTTGTTGTTGAACATTATTACTTCTAAAGAATAATTATTGTTGGGACCCCTGGTGCGCGACCTCTGCGCCGCGCCTAGGCCGCAGCTACATTTTCATCATTTTTTCGCGAAAGCTTCAGAAAAGTGGATTGTGTCCGGATCCGGTTGTTTTGTTGTAATCCGTTTCCCTTGCAAAAAACAATAGAAAATGAAAATTCTTGTTCTTACTTGATCAAATTGCAAGAATCCCTTGCAAAAAATAAGGTAAAGTGGACATTCGTGCGCGCAAGACGAAATCCTTCCAAAACCTTAGGTTTCGTATCGATTTTAACATAAAAACATCAAAAACCCAATGGTTTTTTAAGAAAAAATTGTCAAAATGTCCTTCCGCGCGCGCTGTCCGAATCCCACAAAACCAATGGTTTTTCAACATTTATGTTACATGAGCTCGCGCGAGCTACATTTTCTTGTTCTAACATAATCAAATTTCAATAATCCCTTGCAAAAAAATAGGTAAAGTGGACATTCGCGCGCGCAAGA